CACCCTGGTTGGGGCAGAGCACCGTTCTGAATGAAAGGCACTTCGTTTTGTTTCTAGCTGACAGACGGCCTCCTTTTCTGCAAGTGCACTTACATCAACCCAGCTCCATTGACTCTCTGCTCCTAACTGCTCCACGACAGCCTCTGATCCCCAGACAAGATTTAGAGACCTAGTGCTCAGATATCTACAAGCCAGGGTATCTCCAATACTCACAGCTGTTAATTTTGAGGCACCTGCTCAGTATCAGGTCCTGCTTCAGATGCTTTGCACATCAGCTCTCATCCTTGCAGCAACCTGCCTGGAAATGTGTCTAATAAGAAAACTGAGGCTATGAGCAGCCAAGCACCATCCCTGGTGTTTCACACACGCAGAGTAAGCCACAGCATCAGGATTCCAACTCAGGCCCGTCCACATCCAAATCCCACCTCTATTGCCACATCACATGGCTCTGGGGAGAGCGCTGTGCCACTCGTGGCGCCTGCAGGCTGGTATTAGTGTGTAAGGAGATGGGAGCAACTTCTCTCTCCTGGAGAAGACCATGTCTGCAGCCTGCACCCCACAGATGTGTTCTCGGCAGATTCAGGGGATGGAGCAACACTGGTCCTCAGAGTTGTGGGTAGGGCCAGGACTCCGCCCCCCAGGAAGAATGACATGCTCGAGGATGTGGGCTGCTTGTGCCCTGGGAGAAAGCAGCACACTGACCAACCTAATCAGAGCGGGAGAGAGTGCAAAGGGAGAGAAGCAAGACAAATGTGCATGGCTGTGCCTGTTCCCGCTGCCAGGAAACAAACAGCTTGGGCGGAGAATTGGCTAGTCCAGTTTCTAGTGGACTTTGCAGCGTCTTTTAGCCAGCATTTCCCACCAGCCCTCCAGCTTCTCCAGGAGCCCGCATTTCTGAGCACGCAGAAGACAGAGAACTGACCTTCCCATTTCTCCTCCTACCTTCACCCCTAGCTGATCGGCACTGGTATGGACTCATCTGTGCCATCCTGTAACCTGACAACACCCCACCACCCCCATTTCCTCCCCCCTGCCATCCCGTCACCTGGGCACCTGCCCCACTCCCACCCTTCCCCATATTTCCATCTAGTCCACAGCACAGTAGAGGTTCAGAGCACCAGCTCTGGATTTCTAAACCCAGGGTTCTAAATCCCAATTCTGTCACATACACACTGTATGGCCTTGGGCAGATCATGGAAGTACCTCTCTGTGCTCCGGTTTCCTTACCCGTACGTGGGAATTAATAACAGTATCTATCTGTGATGGGCTGAACTGAGCTACCCAAATTCCTATGATGAAGGCTAACCCTAGTACCTCAAAATATGACTGTATTTAGGGATAGGACTTGTAAGAGGTGATTAAGTTAAATGAGGCCATTAGGATGGGGCTTTACTATGACTGGTGTTCTTATAAGAAGAGGAAGAGACACCAAGGGTTAGGGTTCAGAGGAAAGATTATGAGGACGCAGCAAGAAGGCAGCCATCTACAAGCCGAAAGAGACCTCAGAAGAAAGCAACCCTGCCAGCACCTTGATCTTGCACTTCTAGCTTCCGGAACTGTGAGACAACAAAACTCGTTTCAGCCACGCAGTCTGTGGTACTTTGTTTTGGTGGCCCAAGCAAACTCAAACATTGCCTCATATAATTGTTGCAGGGGCAAGGCTTGGTGGCGCATGCCTGTAATTCCAGCTACTTAGGTGGCTGGGGTGGAAGGAATGCTTGATCCCGGGAGTTCGAGACCAGCCTGGGCAACATAGTGAGACACTGTCTCTACAAAACAATTTTTTTTAATTAGCTAGGCATAATGGTGCACACCTGCAATCCCAGCTACTCACAAGGCAGAGGTGAAACGATTGCTGATTCCAGGAGTTTGAGGCTGCGGTGAGCTATGATAGCACCACTGTACTCCAGATCCATCTCTAAAATAATAATAATAAAGAACCGTTGCAGGGACCCAACTAGATAAAGCATCTAAATTGTTGATGAAGTGCCTGGCCCCTGAGTGTTTCCTATTAGCACAGCCGCTTCTCATTATGCAGCTATTTCCTTTCTGTCCCACTCATTTCGTAAGTGCCAAGGCTTATAAAGCATTAAGTCTTTCTAAGAATCAAGTCAGTTCAATGAGGGTCCAGGTTTTAGATTTCTTGCCTCCACCCCCAATCTGCCCAAGTGCCTAACCTATAAGAGGTGCTTAAAAAATATTTGCAGATGTAATGTTCTTCCAATAAATATTTAGGAACTAGGGCAGCGAACAAAAGAGACCCAGGGGTCTGGAATTACAGTCTCTCTCTACCTTCAGGGATTTTAGAGTTTAGTAGGGAAGGGATGTGATGTTGATTCTATATCATTTGCTTTGAGTGTTTTTCTTTTGCGTTTATCTGAGAAGCAAGTGAGCTATGAATGAGGTGCTGAATTGACTCCGTGGTGATTCCAATGTGAGAGAATGATGCCACTTAGCACACACTGTGGGCCTACTACGTGCCACATTCTTCCCTGCTTAATGTTCGTAATGACCCCAAGCAGTTGACTCTGTCATTATTTTAGTTTTACAGATGAGGAAACTGAGGCAGGGGGAAGTAAATTTCCTAGAATCACACCACTTGTAAGAGTTAAAGCTGAGATTCAAACCCAATCTGGCATCGCAGCCCAAATGGTCAGGAAGAGCATGCTCACGTGACCCTAGTCCAAATGATCAGGAAGCGCGTGCTCACCTAACTCCAGTCAAAGGCTCTCAGGCTTGTGGCTTTTCTATTTCCATGGCTGGGCATCCAGCCAGTGAGCTGGGGTGTGGACTGGGATGTCCCTCTGTGCTGTGGAATAAGGCATGAACAGGGAAGGCAGCACCCATAGCATGTCCCCACCCTTTCCCTCCAGCTTTATTCCCCTTTTTGGATAGGGGACGAGGACAGACTCTAAAATGGACTGATTATTTGTGTTCAGCCCCTAAAACTTACATACTGAAGCCCTAACCCTAATGGGATGATATTTAAAGGTGGAGCCTGTGGGAGGTGATTAGGCCATGAGGGTGGAGCCCTCGTGAATGGGATTAGTGACTTTTACCAGGAACCAGAGAGCTAGGCAGCATTCCTTCCGTCGTGTGAGGATACAAGAAGCAGCCAACAGTCCACAACCTGGAAGAGAGCCCGGCCGTGCTGGCGCGCTGATCCTGGACTTCCGGCCTCCAGAACTGTGAGGATCGGTGTCGGTTGTTTATAAACCACCATTCTATGGTGCTTTGTTACAGCAGTCCAGACAGACCCAGACAGGCCCCAGCTAAGGAGCACACTCCAGAAGGAGTTATCTCAGTGACCTCTGTTGTCTCTCTCCATGGCTTTGTTCGTAGAAGGGACTTGGCTTGTGTTTCTCCACATGTGCTGCATGTTAGTGAGATGCTGGGCGTAGTGCAAAGGGTCTTCCACATGGAAGAGCCTCTGTCAAGGCCTAGAAGAGTGATCTCAGATACCAAAGCAGGTTCCAGACCAAGCCAACACTGCAGGGAGGGAGTGGAGAACCAGTGAGTGGCACTGAGAACCTGTCCCCCAGCAGGGGCTGGAGGAACCTGTGAAGGTTTTTGGAGAGAGCTGTTTGTGCGCTGTGAACCCCAGCCCCCTGAAGGAGGACAGGTGAGGTGTCTACCTCTCACCTCACTCTAAGGGAGTATGGGTTCCATGGGTCTTTGGAGCCTGACATGTGCCCCCTGATGCTTGAGGACCCAGGAGACTGGTGTCTATTCCAGCCTGGAAAATAAAAAATGTGAGCAGCTGGCTGGCTGGGGGCACTGGCTGCAGAGCAAGAAGAGCAGCTGCTTTCTTCTAATTCTAGGGAAAAATAAGATCCAAATGGTGCCAATGGGCCCGCTGTGGGCCTCTGGAGAGAAAGACTAGCTTGAATTCAAGCTAGGACCTGTCCAAGCGGGCGAGCAGACTGCAGAAGGGAGAAGCTGGGGCACTGTTGAGAAGGAACGGTCCACCAGCCAGAGGGAATCATTCACCCTCACTGGGAGACTGTCAGGGGCAGATTCCCAAGACAGAGCATCTCCAATGAACCAGGAAGGACTCCCCTTCCCCTCTACAGAGTCCTCCCAGGCTGGAGAGCCCACCGATGGCATCTTCAGCAGGCCTGACCCCCCACTCACACCCCTCATCCCTTACCTCTGATCTTTCCCCTTTCACACTCTCAGAGGGGTCAGGAGCCCCAGGTGGGAATAGCAGCAGAAGGAGTAGAAGCGCAAAGCCAGAAAGACAGAAACCAGCCACACCCCTCCCCAGCAGTGGACCCCTGTCTGCAGCAGCCTGACACGCCACAGCTCCTTGACCAGTCTACAAAATTGGAATTGAGGGTAATCATTGGCTTTACAAAAGGACTTTTCTTTTAACCCAAAGAATTTACAGCTGATGAAACATCAGCTTTCCTTTGAAGACAGACCTTTTCCAGAGCGTTTTCCATTATTTGGATAATTAAGCTTTTACATCTCTGTCTTATCATCCCACTTGAAGAATGAGCTTTTGTGAGCAGATACAGTGCCTTATTCTCCTTCCATCCCCTCCACAAGACCTGATCACCAGAGGCACTTAAAGATCTGATGACTAATACATACTTTTCAGGGACATATTGATTAGATAAAGTGAGCTACAGCCCTAAGCAAGATCAACCCACTGCATTTCCAGATTTTTCCAGCTGAACAAATACACAAACCATCCTCACCCTTTTGTCTATCTGCCTTTTCAAGCAGTAGGTGGTAGTAATAAAACCACCACCTCGAATTGGTAAAGCACTTTACAGTTTCAAAGCCACTCTCATAACCCACTGTCACTCTCCACCCCACCCTTATCCCCGAGCCATACCCATCTATTTTTACCCACACCCCTGCTTCTCCTGATGGCCAGCCCTGTGCCAGCCACTGCCAGGTGGAGCCACGTGGCCCCCCTCCAGCGAGTCCATGTGTCGTGGAGAGTTTCCTCACAAAGAGTCAGCTGGGCAGTGGGCAGAGAGCAGAGGGCAGCTTGTTCAGGTTCTGTTTATTATGGTCTCACAGCCTTGTTTATAGTAAAGGTGAATGACATTGTTCCACTTTACACAGTAATGAAACAACTCAGTGAGGACTCCATCAGCCAAGCAGTTGATAACGGCAGATGAGCTGCTACAAATCTGTTGTGCTTGCCGCGTGACTCAGCTAATGCTATGGGGTTGGAGTGCACACAGAGCCCAGCCACCTTTCCCACACCTGGCAGAGGGAAGGGAGTGGAAGGACCCGAAGGGAGTAAACATCGAGAAACCGTTTATTGAAACGACCCAGAGCCCAACCTAGGAAGGCCAGTGGCCCCATCCTGAAGTCTCCCATCTAGGTCCGCAGCATCTTTCGGAGTCCCGAGAGGCCACAGGGGCAGGAAGGCATCTCTGCTCTTGGTGTCTTCCTCCACCATCTCATGCCGAGTGGCTTCTAACCCAGAGGGATGCAGATTTAAAGAGGCCTGACACTTGGCAGAGTGGAGGGCGGCCTGGGATGGAAGACCACAATACCTCCGCCTTACGTGGAAGTGGCACAGACAGGGTCTGGACGCTGTCGTCGCTGGGAGACCATCTTGCCTCTGCATTTGTTTCTCCTCCCTTCTCCTCTGGTGCATGGAGAAGCAGACACCATGTTAGTGGCTGGTCTCTCCCACCTGCTCCTTCCTCTTCAGTCTTCCCCATTCCACCCTCCCCCAGCTCTCAGCACAGTAACTTCACAGCTTTCCCTCACAGCAGAGCCAGCTGAGCTGCGCAGGTCAAGCGCCCAGGTCCTGCACCCAGAGGCCAGGCCTGCAGCCTGTGCAGAATGCTCTTTCACAGCTTTGGTTTATTCAGAGCAGCAGTTCTGGGGAGAGCACCGGAGACTAAAATCAACTAGGACCTTCCCAGCTGCCCACCCAACCTGGTACCGAAGAGGGAATGGTGAGGTCTTGGAGAGGCCTCACAGATCTTGATATCCCCAGGACGTGAAATTTTCCACTGAGAAATTTGGAAGTTGTGTTACTACTATTGTCACTACTAAGACACACTTCACTCACAGCCTGAGTGGGGGTTCCAACTACCTTCTCGCGTGGCCTTGGGTACAGAGGCACAGCCTAACACAAAATGGCCAAACACAGGGGCACAGGAAAACAGACAGGGGAAACGGCCCAGGAGGCGAGCTTGGAGGAGGCAAGGCTCAGAAAGCATGACAGAGCGCCCTTCAATCAAGGGCCCGTCTGGCTGCCACCTTCGGCATGGCAGCTGCCCAGCAATGCACACCTTGGGCCAAAACACCTTTATCTCAAAGGAGCAAGTCAGACCCAGAGGGCATAGAGGCAGCCATCCTGAGTGAGGCTCCAGGGCTGGCCAGGTTCCTGGTTATCTACTGCTTGCATCTGGAGATGCGCCAGCCCCCGTGGCCCACACAGCTGCTTTTCCCCCCGGCTGTGCTCCTCCTCACTCCTTAGACCAATGCTGCCCATTGGAATCACCTGTGGAGCTTTAAAAAAGACTGATGCCTGGGTCTCTACCAAGAGCTTCTGATTTGGCTGTCCTGAGGTGGGACCCAGACATCTTGGTTTTAAAAACTCTCCAGATGATTCTAAGGAGCAGCCAAGGTCACGCACCACTGTCTAAGACCATCTTTTTTCCAAGTCCACAAGCCAGTAGCCACCTGGAAACTCATTAAAAATAGAGATTTCTGGGCCCCATCTCAGGTCTATCAGATCAGCCTCTCTGGGTGTGCACCTGGGTGTGCACGTGTTACAGGCTTTCCAGGTGACTCCTGTGCATGCTCGAGTTTAATGAGAAAGATTGCCTCAGAGCATTCTTCCTCGCCCCAGAGGTGCCCAAGGCCATGAATGGTTGATATTGACAGTATTCTATTTCGTTTGCCAAGGGCAGTGACAAATCTCGCAGCAGCCCCCAAACAAGTTAGCCCCCCAGTGGGACCAAAGGTCACGAGGGGATGAAGAGCAATTCTAGAAGTCACAGCTCTGCCTGGACTCCTGCCCTGGCCTGCCTGGAACTTGCACAGGCCCAGGACCGAGCAAGCCTCAAGTCCAGAAGGCAAGTCCACAGCACAGGCCCGGCTTGAGGAGCAAAGGAAGACAAGAAATAAATGAAAGTGATACCCACGGCCATGAGCCTGTGGAAGAGGAAATGGGAGAGAGAGGGCAGGACTGAGAACATGGAAGCCCAGGGATGAGGTATGCTTGGATATTGCTCTAGATGTTGTAAACATTACTCTTTCTTTTATCACAGACCAAAATCTGGGTTGGCATGACCAGAGTGCCTAAAAGTGGGCGTCAGAGTGAAGATCTCCGCGCCTCTTGTGGGAAGCAGGGCATACAGGGTATGAGGAAAGCTCCACCCCACGGGAAGATCATGTCTGCCGTGTACTAGTCTAATGCTCACGATTGTCACACACACACGCAAACACATAGAGATGCTTCACAGGAGAACCATACATTCAGCTATCACGTTCCTCTACACATGGACACACACCCACATACCCTTGCTCAGCTGCGGAATTCAGGATACCCACGCTGGGTCTTTCGCACCTCCCCATTGTGGGAGGAAGTCACCAGGGCACCGTGACACCACCATCTGCAGCCTTTGTTTCATCAATAGTTGGCAAGAACTCTAGGCCCCTCTATGAGGCCATCACACAACATGCTTGTTCAGGCTTTTCTCCTTGGGATAGTGAAAGTGGTGAAAAGGCCCCTTTTCAAATGCTTCACATTTCTATAACTCTGCAGTTCCAATTTATATGCACCTCATATTCGACAGTGGAGTTGGCAGCAGATGCACATTTCATATGTAAACAATGTTTAAAATACCCTGTTAGAGAATTTAATCATTAAATTAATTCTGGCAGCTTTATCTAAGAAAGAATGATTTTTTTTTAAAACCAGGGTTGGAAGGATACTACCTGCTCTAACTAGGAACATCCATTTGAGGCACTGGAGTCCTCGAACATGAAATTCCACAGGTCTCTTCAGTGTGAGGGCTAGGACATATATGTTCTTCTCTCCCCTTGAGGTTCACAGTCGCGCCTACCCTCAGTCACAGATAACCGTGTGCCATGGCAGTGCAGAGGGACCTAACGCTACTGGGACTCCAGGGCCTTCTTGGCCTGGTCTAGCTATAGCTAAAAAGGAAGAGATTCTCAAAGTTATTGGAGAGGGACACAAGCACTAGACCACCACCAGCATAATCTTAAAAGGCCCCTTGCCCCTTCAAAGGAGAAGGGATCAGCCCAGTTCTCAATCGCCTGCACTCCAGAGCTTATGGCTAATTATGTGCTACTCCATTTAGTTGAGCTGAAAGTTGTGTTGGTCTGCAGTGAATCCAAATTCACTGATCTTGAATTATCCCAACAGTAACTCCACTCTGATATCCTCTCCACCTGGAAACCAGCCTCTTCCATGCCCCCCTTTCATTTTCTGATCTCTCTGCTAAAGGTTCATCTCCTTGGCACTACTCTTGTGCCAAAGTCTGCTTTTTCCTGGCAGCTAGAGTAGGTTCCAGGCTGCACCCTCATCCTCCAAGGAAGGGTTGCCTGACACATTTCCAAGAGGAGCTGCAGGGTACCATGAAAGCATCTCAGGAAGGTTCTCCACGTCCAGATGTTCAGTGATCTTCTTAGCCATACCTCCTATTTCATGCTTAATTCCGAAAGGTAAAAGATCAAGAAAGAAGCTGCTTCATGGCAGCTGAGAGAGAGAGAGAGAACTTTCTAAGAAAGCATGTTCCCAGGAAGCATGCTGGAAACAGTTTCAGCCTAAATTCCCGTTCTCCCCCATCATAATTACATGACTGTCATGGGAGTGGAGAGGTGGAGATACAGGGAAAGTATTAGGCACCGTGGGAGCACTCCATGCTATAGAAATTCACCTCCCTTTGCCAAGCTGTCATCCTAAGAGATCAGTGATGTGTGATGCTGCAGAGAGGTGAGGGCAGAGAATACACGGAGCAACACACAGGTTATACAGTACCCCCTCCGAATAGAAGTCTACTGGGGCTACATTCCCTGGTCTCTTGACTTCTGGAAAAGTTCTTGGTAGAATTGAGGAAAACTTGCAAGCTGTATCTTTCTTAATGGCAGTTCCACTTCAGAAGTCATGAAGAACATCTCCCAAGACTCTTTCTGGAAATGTAAGGGTAGGGTAGTCTTGTGAATTTCCTAGGCCAAGATGGGAAGTGATCACAATTTTTCACACTGGTCCAATGGAAACAGAAGAAACAAACAACTCCATGGATTTCACTCCTTCTCCGAGAGGTCACCTGTCAATAACAGCACTAGAAACCTGGGATCCCACAGAAACCTCTCTCCTAAGCTGTGAGGTCCCAGTGAGCAGGGCTGGCCACAACAATGTGACAGCAAATCACAGAGGTGAGACTAAGTCGTTCAGCTGTTCCTCCCGGGGATTTACAAGTGGAGAGTCAGGAATCCTAACTGAGGAGGGTGCACGGGTGGTGGGAATCGCATTTGCATTATTTACAGATTAGCCTAGCACAGCAAATCTGCCCTCTCAGCGGAGCTGACCCAAGGCATTATGAAGGGCAAGTTGCTGACCCAGAAAAGGGCAACAGCGGCAAGGTGCTACCACTAACCAAAACACAAATGTGGGTAAATGGAAAAGAGTCCAAGCTCTGGCAGCTGGGTCATACTTTGGAACGGCCCTTCATTCCCTCCTCACCCCAGCCTCCCACCCCGAACACCACCACTTTTGAACACCTATGACATTTCACATTACAGTATGATCGTGGCAGCAAGCGGAGGGGAAAGCCAGTGATTTCCAGGAGTGTCCTTCTGAGGTCTAACTGAGCCTCCTCTGGCTTTGGGACAGCAGATCTAAGTACATTTTGGACCTCAGGAACCTGGGGTAAGAGTCTTTCTCCATGAGGCTGTGTACTTTTCCCTGGGCTTGGTCAAAGCAAGTCAGGGACGGCTCCTGCATGTTCTTCCTCGTGGCTTCTCGGGTCTGGAAGTCGATGTTTACCTAGAGATCGAACAGAGAGCAAGGTCACAGGCCCTCAAGGGCCAAGGTGCCTGGCAGCTGAACCTAACTCTGAAATAATTATAATGATCAATGGCAGCATCTACATGCTTAAGGCCATTTCTGCTTTTCAAATTGCTTCCATGGGGGTCACTCCTTTTGATCACAGCAAGAATCCTGTGGGGTCAGAAGACCAGATATTCTCAGTTCCAATTTATAGATAAGAACACTGAAAAGAAAAGAGAGACTGAAAAGCTTGTTTCAAGTTGTATGGAAGGTTAGTAACAGAGCCAAGGCAAAATCCCAAAGTACTTCAATCCCTAATCCAGGGACCTTCAACACGTGAGGCAACGGGGCAGACCCAAGCCAGCTGCAAATGCAGGTCCCCTGAAGTAAGCTTTCTCTCTTGTTTACTAAGGAAACAAATGCCCTGTGGAGGGAGGCCGTGGTTACAATGCATATCTCTGTTCCAGCCAGCATTATAAAGGGCCCATAGCATCCTAGCCAGCTGGAAGACTTCTTGTATCCCAAGTCAAAGCATAATTGAACGGATCTAAAAATGCGATGCACCTCAACTTGTAGTAGCGAACATTTGTCTTCATTTAAACCCTCCCCTCCCAAGTAAAATTCTGCATTATCACTCAGAACAGCAATATAATAGAAATTCATCCTATTATTATAAATAGTTAAATACTATAAATACTGTAATTACTCATTAATGAGCAGTGGCACATACTGAACAGGTGCTTTACCCCTCATACTCTGGAAGGGAAACTGAGACCCAGAGAGGTTTAGTAATTTGACCAAGATCACATAGCTAGTAAGTGGTGGAGCTAAAATTGAAGCAAGATTTTAAAGCAGATCCACATTTCATTAAGCTGTGCTGCCTTCTACCAGGAAAATGAACATAGACTCGGTAGCATCTCTTCTTACAAAATCCCTGCTAGCACGTGTTTAACAGATGGACAACTAAAACATTCCTAATGGAGCTCCTTTGATGGAAACCCTGGGTTTCTGTTCCTTAGAAAAGATTTTTTTTTTTTCGTCAAGGGCCACCAGAGTGATGAGGCTTAGTTCAGTATAAGAAAGTCCTCATCGGGCCGGGCGCAGTGGCTCACGCCTGTAATCCCAGCACTTTGGGAGGCCAAGGCGGGTGGATCACAAGGTTAAGAGATTGAGACCATCCTGGTCAACATGGTGAAACCCCGTCTCTACTCAAAATACAAAAATTTAGCTGGGCATGGTGGCGCGTGCCTGTAATCCCAGCTACTCGGGAGGCTGAGTCAAGAGAATTGCTTGAACCCAGGAGGCAGAGGTTGCGGTGAGCCGAGATTGCGCCATTGCACTCCAGCCTGGGTAACAAGAGTGAAACTCCGTCTCAAAAAAAAAAGAAAAAAAAAGAAAGTCCTCAAGCCTGGCTCAGATCCTCTCTGAGGAGAGAAATGCAAGCCAGGAGCCATGGATAGACAGGACGGTCGCCGCTACCAACACACCTCCCGTGGAGCCTGCACATCCACAAATTCCTCAAAGATCCTATGGGCCTTGGAGACCAGTTTTGCAGTTGACCTGGTCTTCTTGAACTCCTCACAGGCCAACCAGAACTCCAGGTTCTCTTCACTGAACTCCGTCTTCAAGAAGGCACGGAATGCAGCCACCCCATCTGTGGATATGAGAGGAAGAAGAGAGATAAGAAGCAGCTTAAGTTTAAGAACTGTAGAAGAAAGAAAGGTAGTAATAGCGTGAGGGTGCCCCTAATTATCCAAGCACACTGCACCTCCACATCCTCTTGAAAACCCCATTCTCGGCTGGGTGTGGTGGCTCACATCAGTAATCCTAGCACGTTGGGAGGTCAAGGCGGGTCGATCACCTGAGGTCGGGAATTCGAGACCAGCCCGGTCAACGTGGTAAAATACCGTCTCTACTAAAAATACAAAAAAAATTAGCCAGCCATGGTGGCACATGCCTGTAAACCCAGCTACTTGGCAGGGAGGCAGGAGAATCGCTTGAACAGGGAAGGCGGAGGTTGCAGTGAGCCAAGATCACACCATTGCACTCCAGCCTGGGTAACTGAGTGAGACTCAATTTTTTAAAAAAAGGCCCCATTCTATTAGATACACAAGTGTCCTCAGACACAAGTCATGCTTCTTATTCAATAGTCATAGTGATATTACAAAGTTGCATTTAGAAAGCTGTAGTAATATGTTTGGAGCACAGGTGTCTGTCCCCTGGGTCTACTGGTGAGCTATGTTGCCATTTAAAAATTAGGTCAAATAATTTGTCCTCTACCCTAATCCGAGTCAACCATCCTGAGGAAACACACAACCTGTTAGAAGGTAGACTAGAGGGGAGTGTGAAGATCTCATCCTTTGCTACTACCAAACAAATCTGAAAGTACACTACCTGCAAAATGTAGTCAGCAGTGTCGCTCTGTTACCTGGACAGGGTTGCAAGCCCCTTTAAAAAATAATCTTTGAGGTGCTGTATTTTGATGTTTTATTCCATGCATCCTTCATTTTAAAAGATATTGCCTATCAAATTATGTTTTAATTAAGATTGAGTATAAGTTTTCTGCCAAGTGATTTAACAAATTAACATGTCTTTTCATTTTTATTAATCAATATCATACATATTGCCAGGCAGTGCTCCCAACCAACACAAGATGACAGGGTTACCACATTGAGTTGGAAAGGGAAATCATATTTATTGATAGTTTATGCATCCAGTTAATGTTTTTATTTAAACATTTTTTATAAGTTATTTCAACCTCAACACACTCCCCTCTAATCAAATAACAGCTATAGCTTTCTATAAACTGTCTTCAGGAGGAAGGCACATACAACCTAGGATAAAGAAGTCTTCTACTGGTTATAAAAAACTCTGGCAATAATCTTTTATTTCTTTTTTAAAATTCCCCAGAAGAACAAATGTAAACAACTCTTAATTCTAGGTGACAGGATGACCGGGGCATCTGGTGTCCACCACTATGCACCAGGACTGTGCACTGGCCAGGTCATCTGACAGATTGCTGGTAGCATGTTGTTGATATATTCAAATGATTACTTTTACTTTGAAATGGTTTTATTTCTCTGGATTAAAAAGTTGTCATATATCTTTTTCAAAATATATATTTTAATGTCTATATTAGAACAATATCATAAAAGCCAAGACCTTTATTTGCAAGAGCCAGGAACATAAGAAAGGTTTTTGTGTGACTCCCAACACTAAGCTTTAAGTCACAAGGAGATTTCAGTTTGGAAGCCTGAGCTCAAAGGTGTTTTAAAAACTAGGAATGCTAGTCGGGAGCAGTGGCTCACGCCTGTAATCCCAGCACTTTGGGAGGCTGAGACGGGAGGATCACAAGGTCAGGAGTTTGAGACTAGCCTGGCCAACATGGCGAAATCCTGTCTCTACTAAAAATACAAAAATTAGCCGGGCATGGTGGTGGGCACCTGTAGTCCCAGCTACTCAGGAGGCTGAGGCAGGAGAATTGCTTGAAGCCAGGAGTCAGAGGTTGCAGTGAGCAGAGATCATGCCACTGTACTCCAGCCTGGGCAACGGAGCTAGACTCCATCTCAAACAAAAAAAAAAAAAGAGAGAGAGAGAGGAAAAAAAAAGGAATGGCCCGGTGCCGTGGCTCACAGCTGTAGTCTTAACATATGGGAGGCTGAGGTAAACAGATGGTTTGAGCCCAGGATTTCGAGATCAGCCTGGACAACATGGCAAAACCCTATCTCTACAAAAAAATACAAAAACCTTAGCCAGGTGTGGTGGCATGTGCCCGCTACTCAGGAAGTTGAGGTGGGAAGATCACTTGAACCCTAGAGGTTGAGACTTCAGTGAGCTGTGATCACACCACTGCACTCTACCCTGGGTGACAGAGTGACACCCTGTCTTAAAAAAAAAAAGTAAGATAGCCATGTAATTTACCATCCAAGCCAGGTCATTTTGAGAGTAAAGGGTGCATCACTGTTAATTACATGCAGACAACAGTTATAAACCGTGACCACCACAGGCAAAACCCAGGACACATGATCACCTTAACTCTGAACCATGGAGTATAGAGAAAGTGAAATATAATGTAAGGTTACTTCCCATCAGGCAGGAGGAAAATAAAAGTGCTCCTGCACCAAAAGAGAAGATGAGAGTAACATAGTCTAGAATCAGACGAGAGGTCTGCTCAGGGCACCTCCCGCTCCCATTCCTACACCAGATTCAAAACTCTGGAAGAAGGAAATAGAAACCCAAGTTAAACTGAAAATCAAAATGAAACAATGACACAGCAGTGTTTAGGCAGAGATGGACTGAGAATCATTCATTCAATTCAGCAATATCTTTTAAAACAACTACTAATGTAAAAAAGTATAGATGGTGAAAAACCCATCATAAGCTGAAAGTACCAAGAGTCGAAATGCACTTAACACACCTAACCTACTGAACATCACAGCTCAGCTGAGCTACCCTAAAAATGCTCAGAACACTTTTGGTACAGTATTTAGTAAATTATATGAGCTATTCAGCACATGATTATAAAACAGACATTGTGTTAGATTATTTGGCCCAGCATTGCAAGAGAGTATCATATCACATATTGCTAGCCTGGGACAAGATCCAAATGCAAAATTTGAAGTATGGTTTGCACTGAATATGTATCACTTTCACACCATCATAAAGTCGAAAAATCATCAGTCAAACCACAGTAAGTCGGGGACCATTGGTACCGCTCAAGGTCTTGGGATACATAAGAGATCAAAATCATAAAATCCTTGCCCATAAAATCTCTCATGGAAACTTTCTTTATCACCCCTCCCTCACTCTGTCCCCTCCATGGAGAAGATCCAGAGGTCTCCACAGGCTCCAGAGGGAACTTGAATTAGAGAGCCAGCCTGCCAGCCAGGAGATCCCCACTGCTTGCAGGAGAGGACCCTGTGGCAGAGGCTACAGGCAGAGGTTCAAGGGAAAAACAGCTGGAGCTGTGGAAGCCTCAGTGCTCTTAAGGAGATTTTCTCCTTGATGGAGACCCAGTGCCCTTGAGAACTCAGTAAAGGGCTGATTTAGCAAGGAGGGGACTCTGAGCAGTGACCAGTCCATGGTTTCACTATCAATGGACAGAGGGGGAATAAAGGGACCATAGGCTAGAGGTTCCCTCTGCTGCCTCCATCTTAACACACTTTCCACTATATTCAGGGAATAAGGAGAGGAACGAGGGGCCCTAAAAGACTGTGTGTCTATCTAAAAGAATGACTGGAAAGTGACTTGGAAAAAGCAACTCAGAAGAGCCTGTTGTTGGTTTAAACCAGAAGAGAGTACACTCTTCGAATGGGAGAGTTTAAGGTTGCTTGTGTCAGATTTTAATTTTTAACCAAACAGAAACAGGTGCTTATGAACAAGGTGAACACAGTTACAGACAAGGAAAGAAAATTACCTTTCTGCCTTCCTTGATGGTACTGGTAAAGACAGCCTTGCTAAGGGAACTGTCTGGCCCTAGGTGAGGTGTAGACATCACCTCCTTTAATCCAGGTTTCGGCTTTGTTTGGTCTCTGTGTGGATGAGTAGAGACAACGTCTGCAGAGTGCTCTCAGCAGCCTTGCTTCACTTCTCATCTTACAGTTGAGGAAACCGAGGCTGAGAAAAGCGACATGCCCGATCTCACACGGCTAACAATATGTAGCATCAAAAACTTCATATTAGGTACACTAACTTTCAATCCAACACAGCAATAATGTCATCTTCATTCATTCATTCACTTGTTATGTGACTCAGCCTCTGCTATGTGCTAAAGGCAGATACAAAACAGAACTTGCCATCAAGGGGATGTTTGAGCCAAGAAAATGTAATCATGGTGATGATGATGTAGTGTGATAAGTTACATGATAGAGAAAGCAGAGGGGTCATGAAGGACCCAGGAGGGGTGCCTTAGCCAGCCCAGAGGAAAGAAGGGAAGACCCATGGGAGGAAGAGGCTTCTGAGCTGACATGGGAAGTAGAGGAGAAGAAAGCTAAGCAAAAGAAAAAGGGGAGGATGAAGAAGAGAACTGCAGCAAGAGGAAACCACAGGAATGAAGGCCTAGAATTAAGAACATTTACTTGAGTAATTGGAAGGAGTTTATTAAGACTAGCATTTAACAGTAATACAGCTGAAAATGACTGGGCCTGCTTCTAGGATAGCATATACCAAGAGGCCCGTGAAAGAGCCAGAGAGATGGAAGAATTTTGCAGCGCTACAAAAGGCCAGGAAGAGAACATTTCAAGAAAGAAGTAGTCACTGTGTCTAGTGCTTCCCAGAGGTCACGCTAGATACAGTCTGAGAAGTGATCACTAGATTCAGCAAGCATTGGAAGGAAGAGTTTTCATGGTGTGATGGGGTCCTAGCCGTCCCATGGTACGTACTGTGGGGAATCAGACTGAAGGAAGTGCAAACAGTCATTCAGATGACTCTTGCAACAAATTTGGTAGAGAAAAAAGTAGAGAAATAAGACAGCATAGCTGGAGGGAAACATGAGGTCAGGAAAGAGATTTTTTTGTATAAGGTAGACTTGGGTATGTGTAAATGTTGATCTGATCGGAAAAGGCCAGTTGAGCAGCAGGCCTTGAAGTTAAAGGAAAGAATGTAATTGACAAAACGTTGCACCCAGGAAGGTAGAAGAAATATGAAGAGGAGCAAAAGGAAGGGCTATGTGTGAATGCAGGGAAGTTTCTCCTTTCAGGCAGGAAATTGAAAGTCTGTCTGATGTTAGCTGAAGAAGATGGTAGAACCTAGGAAAGGTAGGGTGCTGTTTTTACCTATTTATTTAGGATTCGGGCTGAGGGATTTTGCTTATTTACTATACACCCTGCATTTTGCTCAGGACTTTACAAAACATTAGCTCAATTTGTTTTCACAACACTGATCCATAGATAATATCACTCCTCTTTCCACAGGAAG